CTGCTGCCACCAAGGAAATTCCTATACAAGTTAATAAATGTTCTGCTAATGTTGCTTTAAGCAGCAGCCTCTGGAATGGCTCTAGGGCAGAACTGGTTGGTATCTGATATGACAGCACAAAACTCTTCCCACAATCCTGATTTCCTGCCCTTTGCAGCATTTCCCTGATGGCGGTAAAGGTGCTTGTGCCGTGTCCCTTTCCAGGCAGGAAGGAGCCAGAGCAGCCGTGTTCCTCTGCAGTGCCAGCGCTGTCCCGCCGGCAGAGCGGCGTTTCCTGCAGGTGAGCGCTCACAGCCCAGAGTCCCGCTGGGGCTGAGCCCGGGGCTGCTGCTCGGAGCCCTGGGGACTCCTGCTCCCTGCCAGGAGCGGTCCCGGCGCTCCCTCGGTGTGTCCCAGCTGGAAGGCGGGGCGGGAGGAGGAGCCCCGGGCAGGGCCCGGCCCCTCTCTCCTCGGTGGCACCGGGAGGAGCTGTGCCCCGGGCTCTGCCCGCGGCAGGCAGCGTGCCAAGCGCGTCCCGGGACGGGCGCCGGGATGCCCGGGCAGCGCCGGGATGGACACGGATCCAGGGCTGCCCGCGGCTCTCGGCCAGGGGCTGCTCTGAACGGGCCCCGGAGATGCTGCAGCCCGGGCAGAGCCCGCTGACATCCCAAAACCAGCCGAGGAACAGCTGGCAGTGCCGGGAGTGCCGGCACGTGGGGGCTGCAGAGGAGCTCCGGCAGCAATTCCCGGTGCCCGCCCCCTGGAGCTGCCACACAGCCACCAGGTATGTCCCAGCCACCCCAGTCCCTTCCCTTCCAGCCTGGGGCCAGCCTCCATCAGCGGCCTTAAAGCCAAGGAATTTCCCTCACAGAAATTCCATCCCGAGCAGTGCCCTCGGAGATGCCTTAAAATGCAAGGTGGGCGTCAGATGAAGTTTTGTTTGGATGAAGTTTGGAGTTTTTCAGGGAGCCAGCTGGAACTGCAGAACGGATGGGAAGCTCCCACAGGTGGGTCCCACTGCAGGCGCCCTGGGGGCAGGGCTGTGCATCCCTTTCCTCAGGGAAAAGAGCTCCCAGAGGCGCTGCCGAGGCTCTGGAAGGAGCTCAGCTCTGCAGGGAGAGATGTCCTGCCCGGGCCCAGGGGCTGCCCCAGCACGGCCGGGAGCGCCCGGCACCGCCCTCTGCCGCTCCCAAACCTCCGCTGGAGCCAGCGCAGGGCGGGGAGTCCCCTGGATCCCAGGGAGCTCTGTCCAGTGCCCCCGGGACAGGGCTGGGGCTGGGGATGAGTGAACAGCAAAGGGTTAAAACCAGCAAATGCTGTGGAATATCAGCCTGTCCTTGTCCTGATCCCGCTGAGCTCCCTGGAACCTCTGCTGGCTCCTGGCACCGCTGCTGTTAAATATTCAATAGGCAGTGCTGTGTGGGAATATCCGTGCTGCATGAGGCACTGGGAGGTTATTCCAGCAGGAATTCAGCAGGGAATTCAGGGTTACAGCTCTAATTCATCTAAACAGCAAAGCTGAACCCCAAATCTGGGCAGCACACAGGGAACAATCTTTGTGCTGCCCTGGCAGCCAAAGCCCCAGGCTGGGAAATTTCAGCAGCCAAATGGATGGAATTAACTAAATCCCAGCATCCCCCGAAAGGACAATCCAAGTTCTAGGGTGCCAGTGCTTCTGCCCTGCTCTGGTGGGACAAATTCCCTGCACAGTTCCCAGCTGGGCGGGAACTGACAATAGGAGGGGCAGGAGAGTGGATGGGATCGGCTGCCCGGGAAGTGCCCGGAGATGAGGCTGCTGGAAATTCATCTGAAAACAGTTTTTGCCTGGAAGACAGGAACCAAAGCAGATCCCTCGTGGCCAGGCTGGTGGGCAGCAGCTGGATCTACTCTGGGGGAAAACACCCTACCCCTACCAGGAGCTCTGTTTTTCCTACCAGCTCCTGAGCAGTGTCAGGGCCACCATGAGGGAGTTCAAATCCAAATAAACCCTAAAGCCCACAGAGTGAATAATCCCAACAGAGAAATGCATTGTTGTCATAAAAAACTTAAAGATTTGTTCAAAAATGCTATGCCAAAACTGTAATGGGATTTCCAGGAACCTTCTTAATGCTCTTGGTTGCAGTCTTACAAATTTTTAGTCCCTCAATGGGCAACTTGTAGAATTTATCCTGGGATTTAGAGGTTGAGCAGGGCTGGCTTTGGATTGACCTTCACCTCTGGTCCCATTTTGTGCAAACACAACTTGGGCCAAGGTGGATGAACTCATTACCTCACCTTTTTCCTCAGAAATATCCCCTATTTATTTCTCTGTAGATGAACTCAAATTTTGTCCCAAACTGTCCACTCCTCACTTCCATTTACCTTCAAAGTGTCCATTCTGTTCCCCACAGGTGCCCTGGTGATGCCAGGGAGGCCCCTTTGCCCACAGTGCCTTTCTCCTGCCCCTCCCCAGCCTGAGGCTGCTCCTCTGCTCACTTCTCTGCCCTTGTCCCACACAGCAGGGCACCAAAGGGGAAAGGTTTCAGAAAACATTTC